AGGAATCTGGGGGCAGAGCAATTCTGCCTCCAGCTTCCTGTAGTCAGCCCCTGGTCAGTTTCAGCAGCAGCGGCTGAATCTGGAGCCAGTTCCGACTTACATACAAATTCAACTTAAGAACAAACCTATAGTCCCTATCTTGTACGTAACCCGGGGACTGACTGTAACCACAGCTAAATTTTCTGGATTTGTTTCTTCACAAGATAACTCCTCAAAGGAAAGAAATTCCCGGGGAGTAGCATGTTTAATCATGATTTACGAGCAATTACTTATGTCCACTATCTGTACTGCCAATTTTTTTGTAAGAGAAAACATACTCAAATTTATAAAAATGTTTAAATCTTTCACATGTTCATCTATGATATTGCTAAAGAGCAAAATTTACTTGCAAGTTAATGACTTAGTGACTATTTATATCCATATAAGAGGCTTTTCTTCTATTTGGCATCCAAGGTCAATGTCTAGTTTGGTAAAAAATAAAATCTAGTGAATTTAATTATACAGTCAAGTTGGGGCCAATTAATTTAATTGAAACAAGCCGTGTTTCCAGCTTCCAGAGGAAGGCTCCCTGGTGAGCAGCTCTTCCAGTGCCCCAGACTGTGTAGAACAACTTCCTCTGGCGGTTCCAAAGTAGCCTTCATGGAACATCAAGGGGGGGGGCTGCTTTGAATTGAAATCCTCTGAGCATCACTAAAAGAGTGAGTGGAACTTTAAGAAATTCTGCTTGAATGAATGCACGAGGAACTAAGGCCAGTTGCAGCATCCCCTACACTTCTGCTAAAGGTGTCATGTGCTTGGATTCTTGAATATCCAACTGGAGGGAGTTCAGGGGTAGCTTTGGTCTTAGGAGCTAGGGTACTGCTTTGCTGGAGGTCACTGACTCCCTTGATAGATAAAGCTCCCCAGCAAGCAGGTCTTGTGGGCAAACTGTACCATCCCTTGGAATCAGGCAGCCTGCTCAGTCAGGCATGGATAGAAAGTAGGGGCATGGCCCTGACTCCTCCTTAGCCTTCTCCACTTACTTTGGAGGTATACACAGAGAGCAACCTGCATTCCCCTGAATGCAGGGATCATGATTGTCCCTGGACCTTTCACTGGATGTTCCTTGTGTCACCCACTATCTCAGTGTGTTCACATTAGGCCTAAGGACAGTCTGCTCCTGAAATTATCCTTGGGAAATGTAGAATGCATGAAATATCAGCAAAGATGACACATACTGCTCAGTCTGACTCCAGCAACTCACCCGTCTTCACATGTAGTGAGGTATTTTATAATGTTTTTCTATAATGCTTAAAGATATTTTAGGAGGTGGCTGTTATAAGTTTTCAGTGTACATGTCTGGTCAGTGGAATAGCATCTTATTCCATTGGAAAGAAGGGGTAGAATTTGGTATGTAATTCTGAAGGATACTGCACACCTTTAAGCCTTCAGGGGGTATGAAGCATCCAACCTGATCAAAATAGGGAAATCTACATGAAACACTCTAGCACTCAAAGTGGGTTTTTTTGAACTAGACATGTCTCGTTATATTTTTAATTCAAGGCTACTACATAAACTCGTTTCCCCAAATAAGAATTCCATGATACATTGGAATTATATTAGACATTATGTTGTGGTACAAAGACCTTAGAAGAGAATTCCTTATATATTTAGAGCGTTGTGTTTTAGGAACATATTGCAAAGTTGCTTCTGGCTCTAAATTTGCATCAACCTAAATATTGCCACAAATGTCCCCAGTCTCCCAGAGCAAGTGAATGGAAGAGAATTTTAATATTAATGAGGTCTAATCTTGTGAGAGACTGATTATGTCACAGGATCAGACCCTTAGCTTTCTGATTTTAATTATACATTAACTTTTACAGAAGTAGTAGATGTTAATATTCTACGGTTTAGCTCTTTAATCCTCTCCGGAACTGGGAGCTTAGATGACATTTCTCTTGTCACATTTTCAGTATCTTAAGAAGAGAAATGCAAACCAATGTTCTGTTTATTTTCAGACAAATGTAACCCAGATGGCTTTTGTGAACGCCGCATCTCCCGATCACCACGGACATATGTGGACGCTGCTTTCATTTTGGATAGCTCCCAGAAAATGAGCGGTGTTGACTTTGAGAAAGTGAAAAACTTTCTGAGCAGAATACTTGATAACTTTGACATTTCTTCCAACCCAGTTTCTTCCATCGGCGATAGGGTGGCTGTGGTGAGCCATGCGCCACCAGATTTTAATCCCCGCTCATCGAGGAAGAGCCCTGTAAAGGAAGAGTTTAACTTTGTCACCTACAACAGTAGACAGTTAATGAAAAGACATATCCAAGGATCTGTGCAACAGCTGAATGGACCTGCTGCTCTTGGCCATGCCATACGCTGGACAATTGATCATGTTTTCTCACCTGCACCCCACCTCAGACAACACAAGGTTATCATTGTTATATCGGCTGGAGAAACAAGTCAGTGGGACAAAGAAACGTTAAAGAGTGCATCTCTGAGAGCCAAGTGCCAAGGATATTCTCTGCTTGTAATTTCATTAGGACATGCATATAACCACAAAGAATTGGAAGAGCTGGCTAGTATTCCCACGGAACAGCATTTAATTGAACTGGGCAGAGTCCACAAGCCTGAACTTGACTATGTAGTGAGGTTTATGAAACCATTTGTGCATCTCCTCAGACGTAAGTTATTATGTGAAAGCTATTTCATTGCTCTTCAATGAATGTCCTGCACCCTTGGGTAACAGTCTTCCATAGATCCAGAAACACATTTAGCATAGAGATTTCAGTTCAGGTTTCCTATTCCAAAGTCCCTCAGTTCAATGGGTGTGCTCAATGGGTCAATTTAAATACTTAAGGAGTGAAAAGGTGGTTTCATTCCATGCTTGTTCATTCTTAAGGCTGTTTAATAAGACTATCAACTTTGTTGATCTCAATAGGTTTTATGATGGGAAACCTGTCATCTAGGAATTGAACTAAGGCCACCAGTCTTACTTCACATAGATCACCCAACGACTATTGTCAGATCTCGGTGTCTTTAGATCACTTCTAGCTTCTACACAGCTTGGACTAGTGACCTAGGCTGAGAACTTGATATCCTATTAGCAGTTCCATACAAAATGCTGGCCTAGTTAGTAGATCAGTAAGTGATATGTCAGACAGTTTGTTGTGCTCTTTGGGTCACTTGGATACACATCAGAAGAACCTGCAGACAGGAGACGGATTTAGTACAATCTATGCTGCTTACACACTGCAACAGCCCTTGCAGACTCATTGATGGAATGATGCTAGAGGAAACTACAAAGTATAACTGGACTATCATCCTGAAGTCCTCACTTTAAGATAGACAAATGTGAATTGTTTTTATATCCCTAGATAAAAGTAAGCCGTTCAGAGACACTGACGTGCAAGGGTGAGAACAAATATACTCTAGTCATAGCTTATAATAATATCATTATGGGGTGAATGTGTCTTAAAAACAGGTGCTTATGCATAAAGAAACAGAAGGTATTTAAATTGCGTTTGCCAGTAGCCCTGTTCTCATTCACTTATCAGAGTAGTGTACTATAGGCAATGGCCCTTGAAGTAGCTCGGTCTGCAGTCAGAGACCAGGGGGCTACATTTTTCCTTCCCTCCCCCACTCCGATTTCCTCTTCCAGTTTTCACCAAGGTCAATAGAGTGCCGCACACTGATGACTGGGTAAATTCAGGGAGGATACATCCATCAATGGCTATGAGCCCAGATGGGCAGGGAGGGTGTTCTTAGCCTCTGCCAAAGGCTGGGAGTGAATGGCAGGGGAGAGATCACGTGGTGATTGCCTGTTCTGTTCAGTCCCTCAGAGGCAACTGGCATTGGCCACTGTCAGCAGACAGGATAGAGGACTTTTGCTCTGACCCAGTGTGGCCGTTCTTATGCTTACTCCATTCCCTGTGATTTTTGGAATTGCTTAGATGTGACACCCAGAAGTAGTTGTGTTACATCCAAACAGAAAGGCCATCAAGCTACCTCCAAGCCCTTGCAAGCTCTGCCAGTAATGCATCTTGCTGTTGGGTGAATGAAGTCCGTCTTGGTAGAAATACACGGGGGCAGAAGAGGAAACAGTGAATGAAAACTGTTTCAAATTGAATTGAGTTGGTACAGTTTGTTCTAGTGTTTTGTTTTCTCAACAGGTGCAATCAATGAATATCCACCAGAAGAGCTCAAGAGAAATTGTACCAGAATCAGGTCTCATGAAGTTCTGAAACCAGTACCTACACCAAGGGGTGAACAAGTTCCGTGAGTCCAGACACTTATTTTCTTATGGTCTGTTGTTACTTATGGGCTAATTGATGAGAGCACCTAGATGTTCTACTGGATAGCAATTCCTATCAAAGGCCCTGAACCTGCAGACACGCTTCACTTTACACATGTGAGTAGTTCTGTTGGACAGTAATTTTGGATATGTCTAGACTACATAGCTCCATCGACGGAGCCATGTAAACTAGTTTACCCGGCATAGTCAATGAAGCGGGGATTTAAATAATCCCTGCTTTATTAAAATAAACATGGCCGCCGCGCTGTGCCGACAGTCAGCTGATCCGGCACAGCGCGGCAGTCTAGACGTGTATCTGTCGGCTGCGGAAGCCTTTGCCGACCAGTCCTGTAAACCTCGGCCATGTTTATTTTAATGAAGCAGGGAATAATTTAAATCCCTGCTCCATTTACTATGCCAGGTAAACTACTTTACGTGGCTCCGTCGACTAAGCCATGTAGCCTAGACATACCCTTTGTGTTCTGCCATCAACGTAATTTAAAAAAATTGAAAACTGAATAGAACTACAAAAAAGATTTAAAAGCTTATAATTTGCACCTGGCTTTAAAGTCTTCTCCTATCCGTTTCCTGTCTGTCCTATAGAACTCATCCGTGAAAGCATCACCTCTCTTATGCCAGTGGTAGGATTTTTTGGGGCTACATATGGTTTCAGAATCTGGTTCATAGCAGGCTGTGGTATAAATGTGCCCATCCCTATCCTGCTTCACACTGTGTGGACTATGCTGCTGCACATTAACAATTCCTTTTAGAGTGATTTGAGCTACCCACTAAGTGCATTAGTGAACTCTTAGAGCACAACAGCAGGGCCAATATGGCTACTTACTGCAGGGCAGGGTAGGATCATAGCTCAGCTTGCTGCAAATGGTGAAGATGAACCTTTCTTGACATGTGAACAGCTCTGTCCATGAGTGGCTTTAGTTAAGACTTGAACATAAGGAAAAGGGCAGAAATTTGAAATGAAGTTCGCTAATTCCAGTTCCTTTTGAGTCCTCCTGCCAAGTCAAAATGTTCCCTGTTCTTGTATCCCCAGCCTTCTTGGAGAAGAGGACTTGTCAGGAAGTGATGTCATGCTTGGGGATGAATTAATTGGTTATGAGCCTTCAACACAGATATTCCAGGATGATCTAAGTGATGATCCTCTAAATACCAACATTTTTGCAACCAATAAACATCAGTCCTTGGTACCTATGGATATAATGGAGAATGCTTCCAAGACAAACGGAAGGAAAGAAAACGTGAGTCTTATCTGATGTAAGTGGAAAGGAAGGAAGATATCTCCGTAATCCCTCACTGAATAGTGGACAATTTAACCTTTGGATCCCTCTGGATAACTTCACACATCCTTAGAATATTCAACTAAGGAAAAGGAACTAAATATACCAGCTCTTCTCTGTCTCTTCCTCCTCTTCCACCCAGCAACCTAACTTCTTTCCTGTCCTCTGTAAACTCAGCACACCAGGACAGAAAGAGGACCTGTACACAAGCAGGCACTTTCCTGTCACCATTCATCACCTTTGTCAATTAGCCTTAAGCATAGAGCTGTTTCATAGCTCCGTGGCCATTCTAACTACCTGCAGCTATTCATTATCATCTGTTGCTCTCCCCTGGTTGTTTCCCAATGTGAGATGGGGCAGGACTGGTAGCAGTGGAACAGGCTCTTATGTGACTCTGCCTTGGCCGCCTCCTACCCCAGACCTAGATCTTCTCAGGGAACCACACATTCTCAGCAAAATGTGAAGACCTGTCCCACTTGAACTGTTGTGACCAGAATTAACTAACATTAATGATGTGAACATGATCAAATATTCAAATGGCACCAAGGAAGAACATGTAGGCTCGTGTATTATAAACATAGTTAGGATTTTGGTTGGATTTGCAGTCACTGCAGTTTACTGGTTGTGTTTCCAGAATGCCATGAAGAGCGCTGTATGTAAAGTCTCATGGCTGAATATTATGGCAATTGGAAGTGGAAATAAACATATTCTTGGAAAATATTGAGCATATTGAAAAGCAAAGGGCTAGTCCTGCTTTAACTCCCTTAACTACAATGCTTCATGCATACATAGTGCAGTTCAGCTGATGGTCTAAAATGCTCTATGGGAGCAAAGACTTATTTGGATCCAATTAGGTTACAGCTAACATAGTTAAACTTGGCTACCTGGAGTTAAGCATATACATAAATGACCTAGTTTTCAGAGTTAGTGCCCATCCACTGCGCTGATGGAGGTTTCTGAAATATTTTTTTAACATAGCTGTAGAGATTTCCCTGGAGTGCAGAATAAGGTACTGTTGTGATGGCGTCTGAATGGATCTCTACTATGTAGCACAGATGCATCATTTTTTTCTGCTGTTCTGATTAGTGTTATACATTCTTTTGTAATATAGCGCGTATCCATATCCTCAGACATCTCCCCCTATGATGGGGTTTTGTCCTCACAGGTGGAAAGCGGACCTATAATTCCACCTTTCTGCCAACTGCAGAAGCAGTGTATGTAGTGAGGGCAGAGGAGTTGAGCTCATGTTGAGAAAGATTGAAAGGCACTAATAACACCACTGCATCTAGCCTCCTCATTGCTCTTTCCAGCAAAGGAGACACTGGCTCCATGAGCTGCCCTGAAATCTGTTCTCAGCCTGACCCTTTTGGAGAGGTGCATAGTACATGCTCAGGCTATGTATGGCAAGAGGCAAAGATCGGGCCATTGGTCACTGTTTTGGAAAGACACAGTCTACCTTCATACAACACTGATAGGAAAGAAAATAAAGCATGTCTTTTCAACCCTCTGTACGGACAGTTTCATCGTCATCACACAGACAAGGAATTGCTTGTTTGTTTTACAGATGTCTGGAACCAAACACATTTTAAACAATGAAACGATTAAATATGGCAGTGGGGCTGAAGAAACTACCTATGCTGCATAGCTCCGACCTCTAAAAATTCCCATATTTGCCCCCGACAATGATTTATTGACTGTAATCATAGAAGCAATGTGGACATAATCTGTCAGCTATAGAATCATTTGATTCCTTTAAAAATAAGCATTGTTATTTTAAAAAACTTGACTATGTCCATCCATATGCCTCAAAGGGTCTGTGGCTCTGTAGTACAGAATGTGCTCTACTCCCATTTGTTTCAGTGGAAAGTGAGGACACTATGAAATTAATAGGGCCGGGCCCTTGAGAAACCGTCTCGTTCCCAGGTCTGTTGTGCTTTGTGAGAGGCATCAGTGGGTGTAACGCTTCTCCTTCCGTGCACAAAGTGGAGTGCAAATTCCTTACAGTGATATTTTACTTTCCATACTCCTTTTACAGGTGTAAGTTGCATTACAGGAAGAAGGCTTATCAGTCAGTGCTGTGCTTTTCCAGATAGAGTAACTATTTAATTGGCGACTGAATTATTTCCTTTAGATTAGGGGTGGGGAACGTACGGCCCAGAGGCCAGATATGGGCCCTGGGTTGCCTAGATCTGGCCCCCACGGCTTAAGGCCTCCCCCCTCTATTAGGAAGCCCATGTTAGCACTTGAGCTTGCTCTGCCCTCCCACAGTCTCTTACTCTCAACTGATTTTTCTGTGGGTCACCAGTCCCTGACTCAGAAAACATTCCCCATCCCTGCTTTAGATCAAGGAGCGCTCTAAAACAACAGTGAACATCTAACAGGAAGCATCTATTGTCCTTTAAACATAAGGCTTGTAAAAAGAAATTTTCCAATGTAAGTTCTTTCCATCAGAAAATGTTGATTCCATGGAATTGAAGCATTTCACTCGATTGTGTCTATTCCATCAAATTTTGATGGAAACCTAAAAGACTGGCCACTGCTGGTCTGGCCAGCATGCCAGTCTAGAAGTTTTCAACAGTGTCTATTCCACAGAAAATTCTGTATTTCCAATTCCTTGTTCTGATTTGAAACAACAATTACGGGTTTTATGTGAGAAAACTTTCACAAATGTACTTGTATAGGGACAATTTTACCATATACCTTCTATCACTATGCTAGCATCATACGGAGCTATTTAATGTGTGTTACACAGCATGTCAAGGTACCAATTAAACTATCCACTTGAAACTTCATATGGCGTCTTTTTTCATGTAATCAAAATAGATAAAGACAATACTCGGTGCTACTCCCATGGGACCTTAGGAACTAGAAAGACCAGAAGCAGTGAGCATGGTGGGAGATCCTTGTTCTTTTACAAGTCATTACTTACATGCAAGAGCCCACATGGCCTATTCATGCAGCAGGGAGTTTTTAGATATATCACAAGCAGACAAATCATATCATCACTGTTTTTGTGAAAAAAGAAGGGTATAACAAAACATTATGCATCACTCGTTCTGTGGCTTACATGTTCATTACAGTGGAAGTATGTGGGGAGTAGCAAGAAGTGCTTAAAAGGTTTTTTTTCTTCCTGCAAAATATCACTGGGCTTTCAATTCTTGTTAATATGAAATGCTCAGTAAATATGGTGACATTTCCCTGTAACTGTGATACAGTGAAGCAGAAACCTGGCAGGTTTCAGTAGACAAAAGGGCCAATAGATATTGCAGACAAAACTACTGTGCAAGTAAGCTCATATGGGGTTTATTCTTTGATATCAACTATATATTAATCAGAGTATACATGGACATTAGTGCAACAAAATTTTCTTCTTCCAGATTCAATGTAAGACTTTAAACATAAGGCTTGTAAAAAGAAATTTTCCAATGTAAGTTCTTTCCATCAGAAAATGTTGATTCCATGGAATTGAAGCATTTCACTCGATTGTGTCTATTCCATCAAATTTTGATGGAAACCTAAAAGACTGGCCACTGCTGGTCTGGCCAGCATGCCAGTCTAGAAGTTTTCAACAGTGTCTATTCCACAGAAAATTCTGTATTTCCAATTCCTTGTTCTGATTTGAAACAACAATTACGGGTTTTATGTGAGAAAACTTTCACAAATGTACTTGTATAGGGACAATTTTACCATATACCTTCTATCACTATGCTAGCATCATACGGAGCTATTTAATGTGTGTTACACAGCATGTCAAGGTACCAATTAAACTATCCACTTGAAACTTCATATGGCGTCTTTTTTCATGTAATCAAAATAGATAAAGACAATACTCGGTGCTACTCCCATGGGACCTTAGGAACTAGAAAGACCAGAAGCAGTGAGCATGGTGGGAGATCCTTGTTCTTTTACAAGTCATTACTTACATGCAAGAGCCCACATGGCCTATTCATGCAGCAGGGAGTTTTTAGATATATCACAAGCAGACAAATCATATCATCACTGTTTTTGTGAAAAAATAAGGGTATAAGAAAACATTATGCATCACTCATTCTGTGGCTTACATGTTCATTACAGTGGAAGTATGTGGGGAGTAGCAAGAAGTGCTTAAAAGGTTTTTTTTCTTCCTGCAAAATATCACTGGGCTTTCAATTCTTGTTAATATGAAATGCTCAGTAAATATGGTGAAATTTCCCTGGAACTGTGATACAGTGAAGCAGAAACCTGGCACGTTTCAGTAGACAAAAGGGCCAATAGATATTGCAGACAAAACTACTGTGCAAGTAAGCTCATATGGGGTTTATTCTTTGATATCAACTATATATTAATCAGAGTATACATGGACATTAGTGCAACAAAATTTTCTTCTTCCAGATTCAATGTAAGAAAAAATATCAGGCTTCATAAATACTGTCTATGTAGGAGTCAGCAGCTTTCATTATGTTTATAACCTGCAATGTAATATTTCAAAAACTGTTTTATTATAGGTTGCCGAAGAATGGTATGGTTACCACCACACTAACCACTACTTCTTCATAAACTGCTTCTGCTTGTTACTTTCCGAAAGTGTTACAGAAATCAAGCAGCTGTAATAAAATAACTGAAAGGGCCTTCAGACAAGTCTTAATAACCATACTGATTGATATATGGTCATCTTCATATTCTTCAGAGTCAGCATAATTCTATTATTTATTTCAAATATTTACATATTATATATTAGTGCAATCTTTACTTCCACACTTTAACAATTCCATCTCTTGATGCAGTTACTATAAAACCTTGAGTAGTCTGGAAAGTAGCAATGTCTGTGATGATATCATGGTGTCCAACTGTAGAGATTCTGGTCCCCGACGAGGGGGTCTCATCTGTAGGGCCCAACTTTTGCTTGTTTTGAATTTTCTGTTTGAGAGTGAAAATATTAAAATAAACAAGTCTCCGATAGTCCATAAATTTAACAGGACGTTTCATAGTCTGACAACTAGAAAGACCATTACAAATCAACGTAAGTTTTCCTTTGCCAAATGTTCTCCTCCTATTACTGAAACAGGGGTGTGTGTTTAAGGCCTTGTCTACACTAAAAGGAAAATCACTGCTGCCATGATCAATCTTCAGGATTCAATTTAGCGAGTCTAGTTCAGACTCACTAAATCAAACTCAGCGGATGCCCCCACCAACATCCGGTACTCCTTTTGTGAGGAGTAGGGAACCCATGGGAGCATGTACTCCTGTCAGCCTTACTTTATGAGGATGCCACCAACCTCAGCTTAAGATAAACTGACTCCAGTTACATATTAACCACAGCTGGAGCTGGGTACTGCAAGGTGAGCTGCTGAGTCTACTGTAGAGTTTGCCTAAAAGCCCTTTTCCTTCACAATCCAGCTTCTTGATCCTGAACTAAAGTAATAATTCTGTATTAGTAGATAGGGGTACAAGACAGGTATCCCAAATTCAGTATTACAACTTCAGTAAAGGAAAAGCTGATGGGAGAAAATGTATTCTTAGTCATCTTCATAGAAACAATCCTATAGAAAAGACCAGCACATCTAGGATTTTTAAACAAACAGTTCTGTAGCAGGGATAGCAATTATTAAATATTATAGAAGAATCTATTCAAATTCCACAGATTTTTACAGTAATCTTTTGAGAATCTACCAGTTTTTCCTAATTATGTAGAATTTTCCATACAGAAAAATTCTCATAAAATTGGCTTAAAGGAATAAAATAAATTGACAGCTGATTTTCTATATTAAAGAAATTTATAAAAAATGCTCCTTAATAGAAATCTCTTAAACGCCATGTATTCAGTTAAATAATCGATACAAAACATTACAAAGCCAAATATAAAGCAGTAAATCTGTAACTGCTGGAAGTCATTTTGAGGGATACAATCACAGCAGAAATCTGACATGAAAACATTCCTGTACTTTTTGGATGTGATTTAAGTTGTGCTTCGACTGTTTTTAATTATCCCATAAGGAACAAACAGCGTACTTACAGCACTGCATAAATAATTTGTGTACTCAACCTCTTGCAGGACAAATTCCACACTAACTGGGTAACAGCTTTTAGTAGAAATGCCTCAATGACCGGAAGGTCAAAATATTAAACTGTTAAATCTCTGAGTTCCAGGATCACAAAAGTCATCCCAAGATATCAGGCTTTCCCAGTGAATACTGTCCAGTAGTATTGTTTGTCAAAACACGCACTATTTGGGTTTAAACATTATTGCTGCCTCTAAAATATGACCTGTTGAGAGACTGAAGTCATCAATCATAGAAGTAGTAAGCAGAGGGACCAAAAATGAAAGCATCCCTCTCCTCATACTGGTGTACTTGAACACTGGCCTGCAGAGGCAATAAAAAAAACCAGAACAGAATACCTGAACCACTTATATGCCTTCAATTATCTTCCTATAATAGGATACCGATGGACAATTGGCACTTCCTGAAACAATGTATGATCTCTCAGAGTAGGACATTTCCCAAAATCTAAGGGTATGTCTACAATGCAAAGTTAATTCGAAATAACAGCCATTATTTCAAATTAACTTTAATAGTGTGTATACATGCAAACCACTATTTTTGAAATTAATTCAAAATAGCGGAGCGCTTATTTTGAATTTGGTAAACCTCATTTTGCAAGGAACAGCTATTTCAAATTAAGTGCTGTGTAGACACTTAATTCAAAATAGGGGGCCTCCAGCCATTCCCAGGGAGCCCTGGTGGCCACTCTGGGCACAACCAGGAAAACTTACTCTCCTCTCCAACATCCCCGGGGCCATTAAAGAGGGAGACTCTGGACACAGTGCCTGTGCCAGATCCAAGCCTGCCAGTCCAGAGCCAGCAGCTGCCC